GGTGGTGACCACACCCTCGATGGCTCAGATGGTTTCCGATTTGCAACAATTCCTGACAGTATTCCTCGGATTGCGGAAGAGGAACCTGCAGCACACCTGCTCCTTCATCATATAGAAACCACCTTTTTAGCTCCTTTCGTTGACCTTGCAATGAAACTTCCAACTCCACCAACTCTTATCATCTCTGATGGCTTCATATCGGCTTTCACCATTGATGCAGCACAAGAGCTCGGGATCACTATCATGCTCTACTGGACGGTTGCCGCTTGTGGCTTCATGGGTTTTTACCAGACCAAATCTCTCATCGAGAAAGGTTTTATACCACTTAAAGGTTTGGTTTTTAATTGCGTGTGTTCTAGATATGCTTCTTTCTCTTTATATGTACAAAATAAAAGAACTGCGGTCATTCTTGTATACAGATGAAAGTTACTTGACAAACGGGTATTTAGAAACCAGTATAGATTGGATTCCAGGAATGAAAGGAATCCAGCTAAAGCATTTTCCCAGCAACATATGGACAACAAACCCTCACGACAAAGCTCTTACATTCTGTACTGACGCTACACAAAAGGCCCACAGTGTTGAATACAATATTATTCACACATTTGACACACTGGAAACTAGTATTGTTGATGCTCTTTCATCCACGATTCCTCACGTTTACACAGTGGGACCTATACAGTTACTTCTTAATCGGATTCCGGCAGAAGAAAAACGAGCCACACTGTCGAATTTCAATGGATACAGCTTATGGAAAGAAGAACCAGAGTGTTTACAGTGGCTCCAATCCAAGGAACCAAAGTCTGTGATTTATGTAAACTTTGGGAGTTCAACGGTAATGTCCTTAGAAGATCTTACAGAATTCGGTTGGGGACTTGCAGATAGTAACCAATATTTCCTTTGGATAATTAGATCTGGTTTGGTTGTGGGAGAATCCGCAGTTTTGCCTCCTGAATTTGAGGAGCATATTAAAGAGAAGGGTTTCATAGCAAGCTGGTGCCCACAAGAAAAAGTCCTGGAGCACCCTTCCATCGGAGGGTTCTTGACTCACGGTGGTTGGGGTTCCACCATTGAGAGCTTGTCGGCTGGGGTACCAATGATTTGTTGGCCTTATGGGTGGGATCAACCGACTAATTGTAGGTATATATGTAACGAATGGGAGGTTGGACTAGAGATGGTAAAGGACGTTAAAAGAGAGGAAGTCACTAGGCTTGTACATGAGTTGATGCTCGGACAAGAAAGCCACCGTATGAGGAAGAAGACCATGGAGTGGAAGGAAAAGGCTTACGCTGCGACAGGTCCCGGTGGTTCATCTTCCTTGAATGTGCAAAAACTTGTCGAGGAAATATTTATGCTGTCAAGGAACTAAAAGTTTCTTCTGGACTTATGTATATAAATAATTATATATGTCAAAATAATTAATTTAATCATCCACTAAAACTTAATTCAAAATTTTCTAAGACTCTTTTATTTACCACTTGTCTTCTTTCTAAACCACCAACATGCCACGTATCATTCTTCTGGACCTTCTATTTTATGTTTTCCTGCTCATGTTTTTTCTCTTCGATCGGGTGTTTCAACCAATCCAAAAAAATTAGGAATTTACGTTCAAAATCTTCAACAATATCTCGCCCCAAATCTTGATCCCTTGAATTTCTCTACATTTGATTTCAAAATCCCCAACTCTATTCAAGTGTAAAACCCATAGATACCACTTTCTTGCCATCTACTTCATCCTTCATTACTTTTTTAAAATCAAAGTGAATCTGAGATTAAAATTCAAAATTAACAGAGGATGATTTTTGAAAAAAAAAAAGATGCAAGTTCAATTTCTTCTATAAATTAATGCATCTTTTGTAAAGAAAGGTGAGATCATATGGTTTAGGATTCAATGTTTTGGATATTTTTAAGTGTGACTAATTTGGTGATTTTTTATTGACGTCACCTTTTCTTATTGAACACCCTCTATTATTAACCTTTAATTTTCTACTTACAAGGGTTTGTTAATGGATCTGGCTCTACACCATGGTTGCACCATCCGACTTCGATCAAGAGCTATTATTTGTGTTTTCATTATTGGGGCACTATCTTTTATGCAACCTCTAAAATGATGTATTTTCCCACATACCTTAGCAATCACTATTGTTTGGAGTGAGAACGTAGAACATAGTGGAACTGGAAGAGGAAGGATCCATCGACGGCTTTAATCGAAGAAGAAAACATAAGATTCTTTTATGGTATGAATGGACATCCAAAAAGATTATGTTCCCAAAGACCCGTGGAAGATTTACTATGGCGATCATTTAGCCATTGAAATCCCTGAAACAACCTAGGAAATCAGCATTGTCACTCTTCTTTTCCCTTTACCTCATTACAATTGATTACGGATAGTATATGTTAAATTTCTGACTGTTTTGACTTCACCTGATTTGATTGTAGTTATAATTCTATAACAAGTAACAGAAACTAGAAGTTATTTTGGTACACACCGCCATAAAATTTGTAGTAACTCTTTCTATTTAGAATAGAGGAATCATATTTAAAGGTCGATTGTGTCCATTGTTTCTTGTGATTATAACCCTAGAATTTTGAAATCTGAAAACCGGGCTAATGGAAGTGTTTTGTTTTGCATTTGTTATGTAGATACAGTGATAGATATAATAGTACATGAATTTTAAAATGATAGCAGTAGTTCGATCCATAAATTATTTATAGATGGATAGAAAAAGCCATTGATCATGAATCATGATTCAATAATCATGTTTTCTACCTGCATTGGTAAAACTTCTTTAGAGATAACCCTTTGACAAACAAAAAAACAATGTATTTCAACATGTTTTGTCCATTCATGGAAGACAACATTGTTTGCAATGTGTCGTGCAGCCCGATTGTTATAATATAAAGTGGTACGGGTATTAATGTAAACTTGCAAGTCCTTGAGAAGCCAACAAACCCACAAAATTTCACTAATGGTAAATGCCATGGCATGGTATTCAACCTTGGTGGATGAGCATGAAACTAATGATTGCTTCCTAGTTTTCCATGAAACAGGAGAACCTCCAAGCATGAGTAGATAACCCATCCTTGAACGTCTAGTAATCTGACACCCAAGCCAATCAGAATCACAGAAGGTAGTTAAAGGTGAATCACCATCTTTGTTTAAAAGTATCCCTTGTTCTACTGTTCCCTTTAAATATTGTAATACCCGATTCAACGCCTCTATATGACTTCGTATTGGGTTAGCAACAAACTCACTCAATGCATTTACTGCATAAGTCATATTAGGTCATGTGGCTTGGAGATATAACAACCTCTTAATAAGTCGACGATACTGACCAACATCTATGGGTTCTTCTTTCTCTCCTCGATCTAGCTTTAAATTTTGCTCAATGGGAAATGAACTAGGTTTAGAGCCAAGCATCCCACTGTCCTTGAGAATATCTAATACTTATTTGCATTGACTCAAAATAAATCCTTTTTGGATTTTAGCAACTTTTATTCCAAGAAAGTATTTTAATTGCCCCAAATCCTATATACTTAATGCTTCATCAAGCTGTCTCTTAGTTTGTTGAATTTATTCTAGATTATTTCCAACAACTAAAACACACTACTAGAAAAACAGCCTTTTACGACACTCATTGCGCATCGTAAAAGGCTCCGACGGCGCGCAAATGCGCGTCAAGGAAGGTCATGTCATAAAGAGAGACGACACGCTTTTGCGCGTCGTCTATAGACGATGCGCATTTACGATGCTCATTTATGACGCGCAATTAGGACGCGTGTTTACGATACGCAATGCGTATCAAGGAAGGCCCTGTCATAAAGGAAGACGACACGCATTCGCGTGTCGTAATCTTACGACACGCGTGTTAATGACTCGCAATGCGTATTAAGAAAGCCCCTGTCAAGAAAGGTCATGTCATAAATGAAGATGACACACGTTTTTGCGTATCATAATTTTAAATGTTTAAAAAAAATATTATTAATAGATTTACTAATTTTCAAATTAAATAATACATTAAAAATCTCATTATACAAAATAAAATACCATAAATAACAAAGATAATTCATTTCACTAATATCTCAAATACAAATAATTATTCCAATAGTGAGTAAATGTTATAAAAAATGAACTCATTTATATACAATTGCATTATCTAGCTTACTATGTGTCAACAACTCTCTGTGTGTTTACATTTGCTTGAGTCTCGTTTCCTTCAAAGCTTCTAGCCATGCCAAAATATGATATCTTAAATTCATCAAGTCCTTGATGTGAAGTTTTAGATAGAAGCTTAACTGCAATCTCCAATCCTTCTAGCAAACCCTAAAGATCATTATTGGCCATGTAGCACGATCAACCTGCAATCTCTTTTCTGCCTTCTTATTACTTGCAGCATCTTCTGCCTGTTTGACCAAGGTTGTACCTTCAGCAGCAACATGATGCATTACGTCAAAAAGATAAAAACAGAAGACAACAAATACAAATAACTGCATTATACTTAAAAAAAATAGAATCCAATTCCTAAATCACAAACCTGTTTAAACATACTAGAGACAGAATCCAATCCATGGGGTATTTTTGGAAAATAGTCTGAACATTCTTGACAAATCATCAACCTACAAGTGAAGGGTAGAAAGGGAAGAAACAAATGTTCACAACCAGTAAGAAATCTAAACACTAGAAGTTTCACAGTGATTGTTGATTCCTATAAACTCAAATGTGAGATGAGAGGCTTGTTCACAACCAGTAAGAAATACTAATTAAAAAGAAACAATCCCTTAATCCAATAGCTATATATGAGTGTTTCTTCACTTAATACAGAAAGTTTCACATGATGTTCTTTCAGAAAAAGATAAATTGTATCTATAAAATGATTTGAAATTTATGCCTCTTTTTGGCGACTTGCAGCCAATGCTTCAAGCTCTTCAATTCGCTTTCTTGCAGTAGTAAGCTCTTCATCTCTCTCAGACTTCATTTGTTGTGCTAATCCTATTCCTATTCATTTAAAAGGGGAACCAGAACCTCTTGTTCTTGATCCATTCTTTTCTAGTTTCTTTGATGGTGATTTTGAGATGTGGGAAACAAAAACATCTGATTTGACTTGTTCAGCAACAGCCATTGCCTCCAATGCTTTAAACTGTTTTTTGAAGTTAACATGGTAAAAAAAATGTCAAGAATTTAATAAAAAAAATCTAACTATTGTTTACCGTTTGTTTGTATTCTCTAGCTTGAGCTTCAACATGCAGATTAAGCTCGGAAATGTGAGCTTTATGTTGGACATTCTGAGAAAAAATTAAAAAAGAATAAAAATACAGGTTAAATTAGTTAACTTACATATGGGTTTGATCAGATACAAGAAAAAAGAGAAGAACCTGCACCTCTATGAGTTTTACCATTTGTCTATGTTTTATGAATTTTTTCTTCCATCTTAAAAGAGAAGAGCTTGCATCACTCTCGAGACTGCACTCTGTTTCTTTCTTTTTCACATGGAAAGGAGATGCACTAGGACTAAAAAAAAAAATTAATGTTGCATTAGTCTATTTCAGATCAGGGTTCTGTTAGTGTGTACCTCAAAGATAAGTCAAAAAAAGTCTCTTTGTGTTTACCCTTATCTCTTTCTCTTTCTCTTTCTCTTTCTCTTTCTCTTTCTCTTTCGCTCTTTATCTTCTTTTTCTCCAACTCATGTTCTTTTTCCCTTTGTTGCTTTTTCTTCTCTTTTTCTCTATGTTGTTCTTGCCCAATTCTCTTTTCTCAATTCTCTTTTCTCTTTCTGGACATAATTAGAAAGTCCAGGTCCCTCCAAATGAGAAACTTAAGGAAAGCATCAATTCCTCTTTCAACATGGTTGACATATGATAACAAGTTTTTGTTGTAAAATTGTCCCTAGATTTAACTCTTGGGTTTTAATATGTTAGATTCCTATAAAATTACCAGTTTACCCTTTTAAAGAATTAACATATTTACACTAACAGTGTAGTTTTGGGGATCAAAACTGTGTCATAAGGACGATTTTTGCAAAAAGATTCCTTTGCAGTTTACTTGTGTACTTGTATATAGTCTAGGGACTATATACAAGATCAACATTGGAAGACTAACAGATGCATTTTGCTTTCTATCTAACTCTTCAGCAAGATCAACATTGTAGTCAAAGCATCCAGCAACATCATCCTAAATGATTAAATGTCATATACTAGCAAGTTTGTTAATGAACCTAGTTATATGCAATTAATATACCATATCCCAAGCTGCTTCTTCAAGTGGTTTGCCGCAATTGATGGCTTCAAGTTTTGCCAATTCATATTTTTTCTCCACTATCTGTATAAAGAACTTATGAATTTGAGACAAAGAAGATAAAGTAACGGATAACCACACACAAACACCTTTGAAGCAATAACACGCAAATACTTGACATGATGAGCTCCTGATCTTGATGCCCACTCTTTCCCTCCATTACGTTTAAGAGCTTTGTGAGCAGCATCCACAGCAACGTTAACATCTTCTTTTATAGCAGCTAGAATATCCCCTGAACACAATATTTCAAACATAACCAAGTTAACATACAAAAACCCTAACAACTTACATAGCCATGATATCAATAACAGATATGCAAATCGCAAAAACATAATCTTCCCTGAATTCATTGAATCTTCCGAGTTTATATTCACTGATATTGCATTCTTGAGGTCAACAGGAGGCATCAAATTCGAATCTTGACTTGTGTTCATATGACGAATAAACATATAAGAAAACTCAAAGAAGAAGATAAATGGAAAGAGAATAGGGGTGATGGTTGAGTACACGAGTCCAAGCAAGAAGTACAACTGTAATCGAGGCTCGGTTACAGGCCTAAGCAATGAACCAGGATCCATGGTTTCCTCTGTCTTCTCTGGGATGGTGACTGATCCAAGAACCCTTTTAGTTGCTGAAGCGCGGTTCCAGTTATGATGCTTCCGAGAAACACGTTGAGATGTAAAAAAAGATGAAAGATATTAGAATGTTGCATACAAAGATACTTCCTCCATATGGAGCCTAAATAGAACTTGGATCAAAGAGATTAGAAGGTCGCATACAAATAGTATAAATCAAAGAATAATTTGATTTATTACCGATAGATCTTTGAGGAGGTGAAGTGTGAACAAAGATGTGGGGGCTAGGTTTCCTTTACGATTCTAGGGTTTGATGAATTGTGTTAATCGAACGATACAGACCAAGTGACAACTGCTTGCTCTTTCATGGGACCTTCTTTGAGAATTTTAACAAACATCGAGCATACACCGGCATTCAACACTCTCAGGATTACGACCTAGCAATCCGATTACAGACGCAACGTTCTCCTGACCTTGTGGGGATCGAGAAATGAAGGAGAAGAAAATTTAGAGAGAGAAAAAAAAGTCTGAGAACCATTTGAAGAAGTTAACGAATTCAGATGAGAAATTAGGGCTCGTATGAAGTTGTATCTCTTCCGTCGAGAACCCGTGTGGGTTTGATCTGTTCAAAAGACAGGATTATATTGCGATTTTGTTGTGGGAGAAAAGAGGATTGGTGATGTTATTAGGGTTTTTTTGGGTATTAGAGTGAGAGAGATAAAGAGAGAAAGAGAGAGAGAAGAACGATGGAAATAATGAAGAGGGTAACAATGGCGGCCTTTCAAACTTTTGGGATTTTCGTTTCCCCCCAGTGCAAAAGAAAAGAACGCGCCTTTCATTAAAAAAATATAAAGCGATATTTCTAGACGACACCCATTTTTAAATAAGTGCCCTTCGTGTTTTTTTTTGTTCAACATTAATTTTAGGGCACGCATAAAAGCGAGTCCACTATCCTTCAAATTTTAGAAGAGATAACATTATTTTTAGGGCACACGCTTTTGCGTATCGTAAATCACCGCGTGTCATTGTTTGCGCGTCATTAAAGGGTTGTTTTCTAGTAGTGACATCATCTACGTAAATCAATATGGCAATATAAATGTTATCTTTATTCCATAAAAATAAAGAATGGCCAGCCTTTGATTGACAAAAACCCACATCCAAAATAAGCTTTGTGAACTTGTGATACCAACTGCTCGAAGCTTGTTTTAGTCCATAAAGAGACCTTTGTAGACGGCATACACGAGTCTCGCCTTTTTTAGAAAACCCTTGTGGGATCTTCATATAAACTTCTTCTTCTAAATCTCCATGCAAAAATGCATTGTTCACATAAAATTGGTAAACAATTAGTCCTTTTTAGCTGCAACTGTGAGAAGGGTGTGTACGGTGACGAGCTTTGCAATAGGGGCAAATGTGTCATGATTATCCACTCCTTCTATTTGTGTAAATCTCTTTTCAGCTAATTGTGCCTTGTATCATTCCACCTCTCCATTTGGTTTATATTTTATTTTATAAACCCAATTCAAATCAATAGCTCGTTTTCCTTTAGGCAATGTTGTCAGCTTCCAGGTTCCATTTTCTTCAAGAGCTCTAACTTCCCTTTTCATACCTTCATGCCATCGTTCATCCTAAGAAGCTTGATTAAAAGTATTTGGCTCATTGTTTGAAGAAATAGCCACAAGATAAGCTTTATGTTTTTTCGAAAAACTTTTATAAGAAACAAAGTTAGAAAGTGGATGTATCAACGAGGCTTCTTGATCGGAGAAGGGTTGTTCATGACTAGCTGATGGGGGAAGCTTCACAAACTAGTCCTTAAATTTCTTAGGTTAAGATCTTGTTCCAGTTCTTCTAGTTCGATTTTTGAAATCAGTATGTGAGCGACCGACTTTATTCTCTTCGCCTCTTGGGTTCACTTATGTGTCGGTGCTAATCTCATTACTTAGACTAGACTTAACACTTTGGATAGCTTATAATGATGGGCTATTTTAATCACCATTTTCATTTTCTTAGAATGTTGAAAATGGTTCAACATCATCAACATTGGGTTCTGTTTGTGGAAAACTTTCTTCCTGTTTATCATATTGAAGCTTAAATGGTTTGTAACCTTCATCTAGCCCATATGTTTGCATTCCTATGAAAGGAAAATGATTCTCACAAAAAAAACCAAACGTCCGTGCTTACTATTAATTTTCTTGCTTCAATATCATAAATTTATACCCTTTAGTACCCAGTGGGTACCCCAAGAACACGCTTGGTTTCCCTCTTTTCTCAAATTTATCTCCCTTCGTATGTGTATTTTTAAAATAACCAAGACAGCCAAAAATCTTCATGTGATCATATTGAGGCTGTAACGCCCGTGTTTCTGGGCTAAAAGCATTAATAAAGTTGTAATAGTCTAGATCAACATTTTTAACTCATTTTGAAGTAATAAAGAGGAATTATGTGAATATCATGTGAATTATATGCTTATTTGCTTAATTATTATAATTTAATTAATTAATAATGAAAATAAGCATTGAAAATAAATATTAGAAAAAGTCTATATCTTTTAAGAAAGTTGTAGTGGCCGAAACAAGGATTCCGGAGATATAAAGAACGCCGAAATCTGAGTTATAACGAAGAAGTTATGACTTGTTGAAGTTTCACGACGGAACCGGCACAACACCGGGAAGCGTAAAAAGTGAATTTACGATAAAGTGCTTTTTAGCCTTAACAATCTAAACAAAAGTCATAGTATTCGTTAAACCGAGAATTTTGATACAAAGAACGTCCAAATCTAACTTCGTATGAAGAAGTTATGATTTTTCTAGGTTTTAGCTTAGCAGTAAACAACTAAATACTCAAATTTAAGATCGAGCGATATTTAGCCAACACAACATAAACGAGAATCGAAGATCTCGTCAATAGTAGTACAACGGTAAAAAGACTGACGAAAACGAACGTCGGATGAAGAAGTTATGAGTTTTTAACAGATTTTCCTGTCTCGGTCTGTTAAAAATAATAATATTAAAATTAAATTCAAAAGTAGCCGACGAAGTCTAAACAAAAGTTGTAGAATATATTCCCGCCTACGCATGTATTTAAAGAACGTTAAAAACAGAGCTCGTATGCGAAAGTTATGACTTTTGGAAGATTTGGGTGCAATTTTCGAAAAATTCGCATGGATGAGAAGCAGCCACGTCACCCTTCTCGCGAACCCGCCTCGTGGCCGAAGCTGCTGCATCACCGAGTTGTGGCCAAGTCTGGATCCAACGCGTTTCACAATCTCCTCGAACCGAAGTCTCGGCCAATCAGAGGCTGCCTCGTACCCTTCGCGTGTCCGAGTCTCGCAGGGGCCGCGTCCGAGCCTCGCACGAGCAGCGTGGCCTTCGCACCTGCTGCCACGCGCTTCGCCCCTTCGCAGCCACGTCTTCCCTTCATATCCGAGCCTCGCAGCCACTACATGGAGCCTTCTCAGCCGACCAATCTTCGGTCTCGCACCCTATAAATAGGGGGGTTGCGAGATCTCCCGGGTACTTTTGGAAAATTGACATTTTCACCCCTAAACTTATATTTTGACTATTTTGACTTCCCCGGAAGCCCCGGTATCATTTTTAAATCCCGGAATACATCCCGAAGTGCCCAAAGACCCGGAAAATTTTATGTTTTCGGTTTTGAAGCTCCAACCCTCACAGAGCCCGGTTTCTCAATAAAACTCCCGGTTTTATCAGAATCGATCATTTTAAGGAGTGAATTGTTGCACGATTATCATCAAATCATGTGAGTGTATAGTCACTTTCATATTACACATAGATATGAAGTATTTTCTATAAAATACGTGTTATGTGTAATTATATCGATTGTTTATTTGAGATGACTATTGAATAAATGTTTTATACAAGTTATAAACTGTATATGTATTTTTATCTACAAATACGTTGCGTAAAACGTGGGTAGATGAAATAGTTGATGTGTGTTAAAATGATGAGAGGCTTCAATGTTGTTGTTGTTCCAGCCATCTAGCGGAGTATGGATGACGACCACGGACTCTTCTAGAAAGTGTAGTGGAACGCTAGCAGGCTCGCAACCTATAGGTGTTTGTGGACTTGATGTTCACCGATGTACTCTATCCCCCTCATGGTTGCCTTACGGACAAATATGGATAAGGAATCCTCTTAGCAGTAAAGTCCATCCCGATGATAAAATCCTTAGACTAGGTCCCTTGTATAGGTGTTTAGGGATGTAACGTGAGGATAACGGGAATGGGTAATCAGGGTTACAGTTGGTTTGATAAAATTAATAAATTTATTGTTGATCGATGAAATTAATAAATTTATTATTATTTGTGGGATGAAAACCCTATAGGCTCGTCAGGCTCCCAAGTCTGACTCACTCAGCTTTCTGTTTTACAGGTAGTGGACCCAGAGCATAATTTGGATGATGATGAGGGATTTTTGGATTATAGGCCAATAGTTGTAAATAACTATTGTAAGGCTTATAATGTACTGTTTATGCTTTTGATCTGTATCGAACATGAAATCTCGAGTCTTTTTAATGGAACACATTTCTACAGAAATGCTTTGATAAATCATGCATGGAATGAGATGTGAATTCTCCACCATTATCACACCTAATTCTCTTAGTATTTTTCTCAAACTAGACCTTTACCATTTTGTGAAAATCAATGATGCATTTGCTTGCATCATTTTTTTGTTTAATAAGAAAACCCATACAAATCTACTATAATAATCAACTATGGTGAGAAAATAATTTGCATTTGTATAAGATGGTATGCAATCCCCACCCTAGATATCACATTGTATTAGCTCAAAAGAAGTTTTGGATTTAGTATTACTAATGGGAAATGGTGTTCTAACAAGTTTTGCCTTAGCACAAGAATCACAAATTTCATCGCTAAATTTAATCGAATTGTTTTCTTAAGAAAACCGAATTCGAAGAGCTTTCCATTTGAAGGATGACCTAACCTTTTTTACCAAGTGTCTATAGTGGTCGTCATGGATTTCTTC